ACATCCAATTCCATTACCAAATTATCTTGTTTTTTTAGGATTAAAGGACATAGCATTGGCAATTAGCAAGGCAAATAGAGAGGCAAAACATTTTGAACCGTGTGGCCATTATTTGGAACAAGACATTGATATTGTATCCACCATCGCCAGCTATCTATTTTGCTCACTGTTTAGATATCCAAGAACACATTCCACCTTTGCCTTCAAGATGGTGGCGAGCTTTATAACTAGTATTTTGGGTACATATTCAGTTCCTATTATGTTATTCATGTGCATAGCTGCTAAATTCAGGCACATCAGTTTCAAAATGCTTGTTGCATCTCGGAGAGTCAGGTAATCAACCGTGCTGGGCATTCTAGAGAAACATTTTGTCAGCTACTAAGGTATTTCAGTCATTTCTTTTCATAGTGTAGGCTGGGCCTATAGGAAGCAGTGAATTTGTTGATCTAGAGTTACACAAATAACACAAATAAGTATAAATGATGTCTGCAGACTTGAGAATTCTCTCTTTCCACCTAGATAGTTCTTTGCCACAGCATGGCTTGTCAGTTAGAAAAATTTCCAACGTATTACTTTCTGCACATATTTGGAGTTACTGAAGCATTTCTTGACTTTGAGCTCTCTACTAGCAGCATGAAAAATTGAGAATGTAACATGAACAGCTATTACTTTCTCTACAGAACAAGATTTGCCTGCAATTAAGAGCTGCATCACATTCCTAACTATAAGCATTTTGAACATAAATAAATTTCCTATGCTTGATATCTCTTACTCTTGTTCTCAATAACTCTTTCTTTGGTTTTCTCTGCAGGATCGGGATCGTAAGCTGAGGATATTTACAGGAAGTGAACATCCATTTGGTGATCGTCCCCTAGAACCATACATGATGCCTCCTCGTCAAGTGAGAGAAATGAGGCCTAGAGCTCGGCGTGCAATGATTCGAGCTCAGAAGAAGGAAGAGCAAGGCAAAGACATTGCCATCACAAGCAAGAAAAAGGAGCAAAAAGCTGAAGTCAGTGCATAGAGACTACTCAGTTTTGTTCGTAATGGAGCCTTCACAGAGTTTCTACAGGCGATATCCATTGTAATTCCAGTCCAAGTTTTCTTCTTGAAAAGTTTTGGTCCCTAGTTTGTTAAGGCTCTTGATGATCTGTTGATGTTCATTTAATAAGTGATTTGGACTGTTGTTCTACTGAAAGCAGGTTGTAGTATTTTTCCTGCAAAAGCATTTGGTATTGCTTGGTTTTCTTTACCAGTACATGCAGGATAGTTGGCCCCTCCATTTACTTTGTATTGTTCTGTATTATGTTTTAAATCATACTACGGAAGAACAGTTAACCCTCTTTATCTTGACACCTGACAGTCCTTTTGTTACTGATATGATTATGTTTCAGCTTAGTGATGTTAATAAGGATATGTTCTTTTGAACAATACGTTTATTATTTTGCCTTGAGTGTTTGATGTGGTGAATTGTTTTTTTTGCGCAGACGTGTCAGTTTTCGTGTCGAAAGTAATATCCATGTATTAACCATGGGGATTAACTTGGTGATCTATTTGAAAAACTAAAAGATTCATCAGATGTGATGATTTATTTTTATTTTTCATTTTTATTTCTTTATTTTTTTATAAGTTAATGCTGGATTAGCATTGTTTCTCTTTTTGCGTATTATTGGCTTTAATGGAGGCTGTGAGAGTGGAAGCTTTAGATTCTGTGCGGTTAATGTACTGCGTGAATAAAAGAGGATTTAATTTCATACAGGCGCTAATCAGATGTGTTTATTTTTTTTTCTTTACTTTCTAGTTAGGGTGGAGTTTTAATTTGATGATTATTTGTTTTCTTTATTAAGATCGGGTTAGCCTTGATTATAGGGCTGAGCATGGTTCGGTCTATACCGAAAAAACCGACCGATCCGACCCGAATCGATCCGAAAAAATCGGTTTTATGAGTAGGACGGTTCGGATCGGGTTGAAACTTTTTAACCCGAACCGACCAAATACCCAATAGTGTAATACCCAAATCTCAAACCCGACCCACTACCCTAAAGACTCGGTCACTTAAACCCTAAACTTATTTCCACTTTCCCTTTCCTAGCCGCCGCTCCTCATTTCCTCTCTCTCACGACTCACTCTCTCTCACTCGGTCACTCCTTCGCCGCGCTCCGCAGTGTCTGCACAGTCCGCAGTCTTCATGGTTAAGGTCATAACATCTTCTCATGCTCAGGATCTATCTCCGGTTTTGGGGGGACACCCGCACCCGTCGCCGAGGCTGAGCCCGATGTATAAACTAGAAATCATTTCTTTGATGCCATCACCTTGGAGATCTAATGCCCTCTCAGTGGTCTCACATCGTAATTCCCTCTCTCAACTCTCTCGATTTCTTAGGGACTTAGGGTTAGGCAAATATTGATCTCATCTTTCTTGCGCTTGATTGGTGAATTTGATACTTCGGTGAACTTTTAGGGTTTTTGTGCATCAGATTTGTTTGTAGGTTAGTTCTAGTTGAACCCCTATTAGTTCTAGTGGCTCTCGTGTTAGTTCTAGATGATGTCATGTTAGTTCTAACTTCCAGCTAGTATTATTTCTAATATAAACGTTAGTTCTAGTGGAATGTTAGTTCTAGTTGAGCCCCTGGATGAATAGCTATAGATGAATACTGAATAGCTTACAAAGTACTGAATATCTTACAAAGTTAGTGTGCTAAAAAGTTGATTCTAATCAAGTTGAATTGTTAAAATAATCTACAGGCTTCTCAAAAGGAGAATCCTAATGTAAATGCAAGTCAAGTTGATTCTAATCAATCTACACAAGACTCTTAGACTTTGACTAAAAGGAAAGCAATAAAAGGAAGGTCGGAGGTATGAGATCATTTTACTAAGTTTAAAGATAAAATGGTGACCCAAAAACAAAATGCAAGTATTGTGAAAAAGTGTATTTTACACATTGTAAAAAAATGGTATTACATCACTACTCAATCACATGGAGTCTTGCAAAAAACACCCACATAATATCGACACTCGACAGAAGTTATTAAATTTATGTAGGTGTAAATTTTGATCTCCCGAAACAGGGATTTCGTTTGTATTGATAAGAATAGCTTATTACAAACTAATGAATCGAAATTACAACAGAAACGGAGGGAATGCCCTCCTTGTTTAACGTGGGGACTTTGGTAGCGATAGGACGCCTCGCTCGGTTCTCACACCGAGTCTGCTTCCCTTGGACGATTCGACCGAGGTTGCTGGTGAGCTTCAGTACACAGTAGAAGCTCATGCTAGTCGAGTTCAAGTTTCCGTACGCAGTAGAAGCTCATGCTAGTCGAGTTCAAGTTTCCGAGTTCGATGGCGATCAGGGCCCGAAGCTAGGAGAAGATGCTACAGTGCAAAGGTCATACAAAGAGCTTGTCATCAACTCCGTCGAGAGTTGAGAGCTGTGGTTCAGCTAACTGATTGAATTAATCAATTAACTATGAGCCAACCGAACCTCTTTTCTGTAGCCTGGAGAGGTTATTAAATAGAGGAGAGACAGCGTGTTCACCCCTTGAATCATGGGATATGATCATGTACTATTGGGAGATACCATACTTCTCACTTGTACTGTGAGCGGCCGTTTGAGAGGCTCGAAGCACTGTACCCTCTCTCTTTCACATCGCGGGAGCGGGAAGGCCCATCCCTGTACGTGACATTGCGGCTGCCTGATGTCCTGATGAATTTGGCGAGCTTGCTAATCACCCGACAGGCGAGTCTCGCGAACTCAACTCGTGCAGGCGAGCCGAGCATGCGATCGAGTCCAGCGACACAACGGGTTTAACCCATCACTTGTACTGTGGACGAACACTTGATGGTCTTGGAGTACCTACGCTCCTTCCCTTTACGTTGTGGGAAGTGGGAAGGCCCAACACTGTACGTGATGCTGTGACTGCCTAGTACTCGAGCGAGTCTGACAAGTTTGTCGATTGCTTGGCGACTTGCTTGGTCGTTCAGGCGAACCTTAGCAGCTTGATCGAATTTAACTCGTGCAGGCGAGTTAAGTATACAGGCGGTATCCAACGACAGGAAAGATTTGACTAGCCACTAGTACCATGAGCGGCTACTTGATGGGCTCGGAGTACTATACCCCTTCCCTTCACGTCGTGGGAAGTGGGAAGGCCCATCCTCATACGTGTTATTGCGGCTGCCGGGTACTTCGGCTAGCTCGGCGAGCTTGTTGATCGTCTATCTGATTATCAGGGTATGCATGCGAGCTTCTAATCACCTGGCGGATTGCCCGAGTGTAGACGAATCTGATAATCGTGTGGCCCCGATTTTCAAGTCGTGCGGGCGACTCGAATACGTAGGCGGACTTCAGTCTTATCTGCAAAGGTAATTTTTACCGTCTACAATTTACAGGTAGATATTGATTCACAAAGTGGAGCTAGTACGAAAATGGGAACCCTTGGTAGTTAGAGTTATGATGAAGGAGCCATAAGAAAAGCCCTCAATTATTTATCATTCTAGACAAGCTTCCATTCAAGTTAGTAGAGGGTTTAGGGTTTAAAAATTTTATGTCCACCGCTTGCCCTAGATTTCATATTCCTTCTCGTTGGACAATCCAAAGAGATTGGTGTAGGCGTCTAAAATTGCCTACGGGCCCTCACACGCAGCTCGAGGCACATAGAAGACGATGAACGTCATTATCTGAGTCACAGAAGCTTAATCGACATTGACAAGCGCATGAAGTGAGTCAACGAACCATGCGAAGCAACGGAACTTCGGAATAACGAAAACACGAACTGATCGGGAGCTCTGCGTCACTTACGAAAGACGAAACACCCCCCATGTCTTGTCCACTTCATAGATGATTCAATTATGGGAGCTTGTAGATCTTCTCAACGGCTTTCCAATGCATCTTGAATCGGACGATTCCGAGTTCGGATGACGAATATACGACTGAAACGGACAAGACACGTAGAACTACGTTCCGGGCCTCAGCGAGACACCCAGGAGTGTCTCGGCCATGGCCGAGACACCCCTTGGTGTCTCGGCTTGGCCGAGACACCCACGAGTGTCTCGGCCAGGCCGAGACATCCACGGGTGTCCACAGACCCAAAAATCAGATTTTGGCAGTTTAAAGCCGTTTTTTGACCGTTAACCGCCTAGATTTGTTTCAACCGATCTGATATCATCCATGAACATGGTTAATGTTTGTGGAAAATTTGTAGTAAAAAGACAGTGAAAGAAAATTAATTTTTATTCTCTCAAAATCGATTATAATTTGGATTCCGATTACAAAAGAGAGGAGAATGAATTTGATTCTCCCCTTTGTTTAAAACTGGGTTCTTTACGGTGGTGATGGAGTGCCTCCCTCGAATGTTCGCGTCGAGTTTGCTCTCCGTTGACGATTCGACATTTTGCTTCACTAGAACGATGTCCTCTCCTCACGATTTGACGTTGTGGAGAACTTGCGTGGCAAGTTTTAGAACTCTGAACGAGTTTAGAAGAACTCTATAAAACAGTTGATTTGAACTGAAAGTTCGGTTGATAAGCCAAGGATGAAAGCTGTTGCTCAAGGATGCTTCAAGATCTTCTTGTTGCCAAGTATCTCTCTCCAGCCGATCTCCTCCAAAGCCTACCCAAGGATCTCTTCTGCTCGACCTCTGAACTGAATTGATTTTTAGTTATTTATAGAGGATTAAGGGGGTGTAACTACCCCTTAAATCACTCCTAAGTAGGGTGTAACCGCCCTCCAATCATGGGAAATAGTTTTGGAACTGTTCACGGGTTTAAGGGGTGTAATTCCCCATAAAATGGCTCCATAATGGGGTGTAACCGTCCCCATTAAGTGGAGATACGGTTTTAAAACCATTCAGGTTCTGTTTGAACCAGTCAAACACAAAAACGCGGGTCTGACCCTAGCGTTTTGATGTTGCAACGCAGGTTCGACTCTGGCGTTTTGATGTTGCAACGTGGGTCCGACCCCAACGTTTTAATGTTGATACACGGGGAGGACCTCCGCATTTTGGTGTTGATGCACAGGGATGATCTCTGCGTTTTGGTCTTAGAGCGCGGTGATGAGTTCCGCGTCTTGTTTCGAAGAGATTATCAACAAGTAATCTCTTTTGTCATAGCGTTGCAAAGGTCATTGTCTTGTAATCTTCATCTTGGCTTCTTGAGAATATGAGAGTCGTCAGATTGTAACTCTCGATGTTGATTGTGAAGGCTGTTGATTAGAGTTTTCATCAGTTGTTGTGAAGGTCGTCAGATTGTAACCTTCATCGGTCTATGTGAAAGTCTTCAAATTATAGCTTTCTGGAAGTCGTCAGATTGTAACTTCCATCATTGGTGTTTGATGGGGGATCAGCTATCTATTTTGATTTTTTGACAACCTATAGTTAAGTGGTTACAATTAAAGATAAGATCGAATCGATCGTTCTTATCCGAAAATAGGGATCCCTAAGACTATAAATACA